TCTTTTGCAATCGTCTCTCTTTCTATTTCTTTTGCTTACGTAAACCTCTCCGAGAGCACGTTTCAATCTTCGAACTGTCTATCATCGTAATATTTTTATTTTAAATTATGATAAATCGTTCGTTCATGTATAAAATCGTGCATGACGATTCTTCGTTGCTAGAGGAGCGTATGAATTTTGAATCCATTTTTTGACGGTATTTTTCAGTAGTTAGGGTCAGATTTTGGGGGTTCGAATTGGCCAAATTGTTTTGTTTCGAGTCAGCTGAGTATTCGAAGAATCAGCGACTGATTTAGTTGGTACGGAGGTATACTTACACCCTCGAAGAGCTTCTTTTTATCGTCGTAGGACCTGGTATCCACGCGACGTTCGTATTTGGAGGCGACTTGGATCTTGGGCTGCGAAGAGAAAAAAGGATTTTATCGCGCCGAAGGGCTACGGTTTATTCCAATCGATTTTCTCGTTGTGCTTACAGGGTACTTGCCGGTGAGGGCTTCGGGATCGAGACCTTTCTTCAAGGCTTTGTGCCTCAACTGCTGCTTCTGACGTTCCTTTAATTCTTTAAGCTGGAAAAAGATACGTTTGAACGTTTCGTAAAATATTGCCAACATCTGATAAGACGTATGTGCGTCAGTTAACATTGTTTGCGTGCACGAAATATGGAGATTCAGTTTCATATTTATGATTGCCTAGGGAACGTAAAGGTAAAGAATTACTCGACGAAAACGTTGCTGCGATCTATCAAATATTTTATTCAAACGGGGACGTTCTGGTCCTTTTTCTTGAAGCTGTCGTTAGATATGTACATACCAATCTCAACTAAAAGGGGCTCCATGTATAAACACGAATGGAAAGGTACCAGCGAAGCTAAATATCAAAATTTTGAAAAGGAATTCTTGATAAATTGTTCGACAGATGTGGTTATCTTATAAGCCAGACTTTCTGGTAAAAAATTTGGGATTTGTATTTCAATCATCATTTTCAATTATTAAAGTCGACTGTGAAAAGGACTAGTCTTGTTCCCTGACTGGAAGAAATACAATAAAATATAACATGCTCAAAAAGTTCACAAAATCTTTACTTTTGTAACCCTTTAACATTTTGTGTAATTTTTCTATGCATTTATTTTCTTCGGGAAATTGTAATACTTCATTCGTCTCGTGTTTATACATATTTCTTAGTGTTTAAATTTTAATACTCGTCTTCGTTAAGACCCTTTCACTCGCGTTCATATACTTCCCTGTTTTAGTTAATATTAACGTCCGTATACCTGAAGAGGGTTCCAAGAGGTCATCATTTTAATAAAAGAAGGACATCGTTGTTTGAATAAAATATTTGATACATCGCTACAATATTCCCTGAAGCAATCTTCTTCTCTCACGTGCCAGCAAGGAAGGAAAAACTATCTTCCTCAAGTAATTATAAACGAACGTATGGAAGAGAAGAAATTTGTCTCTTGTAATCAGAGGAATCATAATTCAATAGCAATGATATCATCGTGTTTCGCCCTGAATGTGTTAATTGGACTCATCAATAACGCCTACCTAGCAGATTCTGCCTTAGATACGACGCTATTAATGGACTGAACGATCTTCTCAAATCTAGCCATATGCTAATAAATTATCGATTAATTGGAGACTGTTCAAACCATTAATATTGTCAAGTCTAAGTCTGGCTTTGCTAGATAGATTTCAACTAGCACATTGCTGGACCAGTAAGTTATTCGCGAATCAACCCAATAAATGTTTCGAGTCTCTCTCAAACTCTTCAAAAACCCAAATAATCTACGTTATCGTTCATTTTGATACTAACATCATAATCCTGGCGTTTCTGTCGCTCCTCAAGATCGTATTTCTCGGTTTCCAGCTTAACGATGGTATCCCAAAGATCGTTGGCCTTAGACCGGAGCTTCTCGATGGACAGATTGTCCATTTCCAAAGGTTTGATGCGGATGCTCAGCGAGATTTTCTTCTCCTCTTCGAGCTGTTCTTTCGTCTTGTTGCGTTCCAGTTGCGCCGACGTTAGGTTACCCTATATCAAACAAAGGTTGCGCATGAATAACTTCGTAGAATAGAAATCCTTCGCGTGGATCTACAGTTAGTCCCATCAATATTCGTACCCTCTATGTCTATAGAAGAAATTTGTTTAACACGTTCACGCCGGCGTGTACTATGGGTAATAATTTGGTAATAAAACTATTATTTAATTTAGTCAAACTTTTTCAATGGACATAGAGGGTACGAATATTTATGGAATTGGCTGTATCTTTGATATCGACGATACGAACTGCAAGATCTTTTCTAGTGATGGTGAAGTTGGGTCCCTTCTTACTCTGATCTTTCATCGCTTGCATCATAGCTTGACGCTTCTTTTCCGATTCTTCGAGACGCCTGAATAATTAACGAATGAAATTAATACTAGAGCTCAGACACCCTGGAAATACTTTGTCGAACATAGCCAAACGTACTTTCTCTTTTCCTCGATATCACGTTGTTTCTTCTCCTCTGGAAATTTGAATAGGCGTCAGCGAATCTCCGTTTGGATTGGAATAAATCGAATACGGTTCGCGCGTAGCGTAGAAACGAAAAGGAAATAGGATAAACGTACCAATTTCACGTTGACGACGTTCTTCTTCCTCCTTCTTTTTCTGAGCCAATCTCTTCTCCTCGTCCGCGCGGGTGATCTTGCGCTTGGCTTGCTTCTCCTGCGAACAAAACGATGATGAAAAATACATGGTGGAAAAAGTACGGGGGAGGATATGCATAAGAAGCGCGACAGAAAGTACGCGAAACGCAAGCTGTAACCGTACCTTCAATCTCTTCAGCTCCTCCTCCTCCTTGGCCCTCTGCTTTCGCCATTCTGCAATGTATTCCTTGAGCTGTTCGTCTAGGTCGCTTCTCTTCTGTTCCTGCCTCTGCGTTGTCCCGAAAAAACGACGGGAATGTAAATACGCGTTGATGCTAAATCACACCGATACCGTGTCTACGAGATCTCGGGGATCTCTCCTCACCTTCATAAACTCGGGATTCTCCCCAGAGTCCCTGATGTAGGCCGGAGCGAAAACAAAAGTAACTCTCTTTAGTTCCTGCCGCTCGTCCTCTGAGAGATCTCGCAAGATCTTCCAGAACTCCTTACGCCACTCTCACGTGTTCCACTTTCTCCATTTATTTATTACAACTTCATCCATTCTCTCTCTCTTTTGTGTGGCGTAAGATTCTTTCTTTCTGCATTTTAGTTTCTTTTTTTTTTTTTTTTTTTTTTATGTGTTTGCGTGTTGGTACTTTTCGTTTATGTTTGCAGAACGCAGCCAGACAAACAGACAGACAGCCACGCAAACGGACGGACGCACGGACAGACAGAAAGTGTGTAAAGCGCTTGGAGAGAAGAAAATTAGGTGCGCACTGTGAGAAAGATAAAAAAAAAAAAGAAGAAATTTTACTTGGGAAAGTGGAGCTAGAGCTTGGGAGTGGTTGGGGAGAGGGGAGAGACATTAATGAGTTTAGAGGAGCTTGGGAAACCGACGAGTTTGCGGCTGGGAGGAATCTATTAGGCTCTCGTAGACAGGATATTGGAAAATTGATGGAGGGTTTTACCGAGAATTACGCGGTCACTTGAATTTAAATTTTGTTTCGACTCCGGAGTCTGCAGCGATGGAATATTGAACTTACCCGCGCGAATTAAAGATTCAATATGTTCCTTGCAACTGATTTAGAAGGTCTTGCTGAAATTTATTACGACTTGTCACGAACTGTCCAAGTATTCAATGTATGAAGAAAATGAATTTTATCTTTTTTTCCTATTATGTAGATGTACCGAGTAATATTATAGGAAGTTCGTATATTTTTTTATATATTCGATGATCTACAGATGTGTTCAATTTTGTGTAAAAGTTTACAAGATACTATCTGTAATTGCAGAAAATACTCTACATCAGTAATTATAAAAGTAAATTATCAACACGAATTGATCTAATTAAAAATTGATGAATAATTCGTGAAGAAATATTTGATGTACCACTTCGAAGTGGACATCTAGAACACAAAAAAAATGGTGTTTTAACATTTTGGAAACATTTCAAAAATGCAAACATTCTTGACCACGTAGGTGTGGTACCATGGATCCAATTACATAACGTGGATCGAATCCAGGATGACTTGAAACCAAGGGAAGGATCTCTAATTTTAAAGATGATATCGTGGTGACGAAAAATAGATTGACTTTTGGATCGTAGGGAGTGAATATACGGGACGACGGACGTTCGTTTAGTGTTTAGCTGAGAAAAAGAGTAATACGAAGCCGCTCGAGAACAAGCGATTAAGCATATTTTTTTTACAGAAGCAATTCAGCAGGTTCAAAGAGAAAACTTTGACAAAATCTAAACAGCGCACAACGAGAACAAGAATAATCGTGATTAAAATGGACCGTGGATGACGAACTGTTTGAAATGAATAATCTTGACGAGAAACAACGGGGAATTTGAAAATTGTATCATCAAAGGACTCGATTTCTACGGATGAAACGATCTTTCGACGATAAAGGATGAACGGGATAGAAATGGAGCACAGAGATCTCTAGCACTCGCTCTTCTTCTCGTCAGACATTTTCTTCTTCCCAACTCAAATGCAAGCAACACACGGTCGCCTCCGTTATCAGCGTCGTCGCTGTCGTCATTCTTATTGTCAATTATTGTCCAAAACGCCGTGAAAAGCCACAGTCGAAAGCCGAGGAGGCTGGCCAATTTACATAAAAAATCAGGTTTCGACGATCGTGTCATAACAGAGGGCCACCGAATCCTCGTACGATTATTAATTAACAATGTTTTAGCTCGTCCATATCTTCTAAAAACACAGAAAATGGTTTTGTTGGCAATTTTTATTATTCGTCGTGGAAACAATTAGCACGTTGTTTTAAATTAATTAAATTGTCTTGGATACCAGATAATTTGAGCGCGTAAGTACAACATTTTTAATATTCATAAAATGTGTTACATCATACGATAATAATTTAGATCGAAAACATTTACCTACAAATCTTTTTCATAATGTCTACGAATAATAAATATTGCCTGCACCATTCCTCTCCTACATTTTTCGAAAAATCAGAATCAAGTTTCAAACGCAATCGCTCAGCTACGGATAATGCGATCCTAAAACGCTGAACTGTACCGAATGGGATCGTCTCCAAATTCACGTCTCGGTCAGTTTGATCCGTAGCACGCTGTGAAATCATAAACAAGGTTTTAACACCTTTGGCAACGCGATCCGCAATTGCGTAACGGTGTTATGAAACGGTCGAAATTCGCTAAACGAGACTCGGAAACAACCGAATCTAGCGATTTCACGAAAATTCAGTGACCCCTGGAAACGCTTTGGCCGATCGTTCTGCGACAAAGAGACCGAGAACGACAGGAGGTTTGGCGTGGTGATTATTGGCTGCGTGTCGATTGATTATGGCGCAAAAGATCAACATAATAATTAACAGACGACAAAAGAAGGGGTGACGGGCGGGGGGGGGGGGTAGACACGAAAATCGGCAGTAACAAAAATTGAAAACAACTCCTGAAAACGCAGGAATGCAAAAAAAAAATAAAACGAAACACGACATCAAATTGTTTGCTTAAACGAGATCAACGGAAAACTGGTGGACTTGTCGATTGCGTGTGTGTATGTACGCATCGTGTGCGCGTACATGAACACGGGGATTTATGTACAGAGCCTTTAGTTAATTCGTGATTAATCAAGATTTGGAGAGACAAAAATAGAAACAAAAACACGAGAGGGGTGTGAGAAGAGAGAAAGAAACATGAGCCAGGGGTTTAAGGGGGGTGGTGTGTGGTGGTGGATGTTGCTTCGAGCACTGATCGCGAATTATTAGATTACGCTTTTTGGCAGGATCGAGACTTCTGTTGTATGTTATCCACGGGTAACAATATTTATGGAATGTTGAACAAATCTAGGAACGATTGGAATGACAGATCGCTCGTATGATCGCTGAATACTTATAAAATTGACTATATATCGAGGATCTCGTTAAAACTGTAATTACGTTGAATATATAAACATCGTAATGTACGTCAATTTGCACGTAACACGAGGAAACTTGAAGAATACACGAATGGAAACGGAAACAACAATTTACACGTAACACGAGGAAATTTTCGAGACACACGAACATAAAAAGGAGTTTCGAGGTTCAAGAGTTACAGAAAAATAAAAATGGTACAGCGAATTCGCAGCACCTGCAAAGACGTTTCTCCATCTATAATCGAGGAATAAGGTTTTCGTCGAGTTCCAAAGTTCAGCTGGCTAGACGACGCGTATATTAATCTCCTCCATCATCTTGGCATCGAGACTTGGCATTAGCTCGTAACAGTGGGCCTGACAATGGCTACGTTTTTCCGCCGAACGGTTTACTCGTTAATTAGATTGCACCACATTTGAGCGCGGCGCGCTTCAAACGCCGCGGCTTCGGTATAAGAATAAACCGCATTACGTTATCGTACACATATTTATGAAACGTTTGGCAATCGTCCAGCCCGACGCAAAGTTATATTAACTGCGCGCCGCCTTATGCAACTGGCCGTAGTATAATACGGTCAAAAGCCTGAAAACTTTTCGACCGTACAAGCTCGCGAACAAGCTCGCGGATACTTTGATTCACCTGTAACGTTAGACGGTCATGAACCTCGAACGAGAAGCGTGGATGGTCGAACGAAGTCGAAGATGGTCTACCAAGCACATTCGAGAGCAACTTCCTTTTTTTTTTACAGGTTCAATCTTATTATCGACTTTCGAATCAAATTTCAATACTACAGTGACGAGATTGTTCGAACCTGCGAACCTGTCACAAAACAAACGAACCAAGAACGAAGAGAAAGGACGAACCGTCGAGAGTGTTACCATTTCTGAGCGATCGTTTTTGGTAGGACGTATTGAAAATTCTGTTTTCGAGTCTCGTTCCCGCCAAAAACTTCGAATAAAAGCGCGGACTTGTGGGCGGGGGTTGGGGTGGGGGGGATGTGAGAGCGGCCGAAGAACAAAGAAAGTATTATTGACGTGTAAACACCTCGATATTCAACTTACTTTTGGGACGCCCTACCCCTACAAAAAAAGAAAGGAAAGGTACATTAATAACAGTGACAATTGTTTCGTCTTTTACGTGGGGACTGCACAAAGCCGCGACAAAGTGCGTGCGTTCGCCTGCTCGTTTAATTATTCGTTCCGGTTCGAATTAAAATCCTGCCACGATCGGACAAAGAAAGCATCGTTAGAATCGACGACAGCCTGCCGCGTTCCATCCGCTTTTATTCACTTCCGTTCCCCCAGCCGTTTCTTTACTGCTGAGTCGTAGAGAAGTTTCTCATTCGGAACGGAGAACGACGTTCCCGTGCGCGCGTACGTTTCACGAGATTTTGATTGGCTTTCTTTTTTATAGAGGACGTAAAAGTGGAGAACAGGCAGCCTACCGTCTCTTTCATTCCGAGGACCATTGTCACACCTACAAGTATACACAGGGTGTGTCCCAGCACGTGGATCCTGCTTTGGTGAGTGATTGAAATAATATAAAAAGAAAGCGATGAATGTCATAGTTGAGCAATTTTAAGATTGTTATTAGTTGTATAAAATAAATGTCAGGCTCTTTATCAATTGTGTGAATTGAAAATACCATTAATAAATAATTGCAGTATGTATATTCAATTCGTAAACAAAATGACGTATGTTGTAAACATCTTTTTCATTCCGTTTAAACGTTTCGATAACATTTATCTACAACAACTTTTAAAATTAAAGAGCAGAGACAGTTCGAGAAAAATTGTATTCTGGAAAGTTGAGGATAGAAAAGTGAAAGATTAAAGCAACAAAATTGAGGATTGACTAACTGTCTTTAAATAAAACTTGCTATCTCAAAATAATTAAAATTATATTCTAAGATCGAAACGTTTAATGAGAATTAAACGAATGTCTAGAGAAAACTACATTTTGGTGTCAAATGGTAAGCATGAATTATTCACGAAGAAGATCAATTGGAGGTATCTACGCTCGTACGAACTTCTCTCGTTATTTCGTCTCCGACTCGCCGTTAAAATGAGTCCCACGTGTTAGGATTCACCCTGCACACGGCTTTTAACAAAACCTTTCCGATTGGACAGTTTAAAATGCGAGAACAGAACGATCATTATGCGACAGAAATAATGCGCAAAGAGACAAAGAGAGTTAGGTGTGGTGGGGTGTAATTGGTGACTTTGGCCTCGGATCGATTGAAAAGTGAAACTGATCAGAGAACACCGTTAAGTAACATGTACAAAAATTTTAAAAAGCAAAGAAAATTAAGAAAAAAAAAAATTATTTTCTGAAAAAAGTGTGTAGTCGAACGTGTAAATCTTTAAAAGTAATTTTTCCCTGGAGATTAAGTCGTTATTAATAGACTTCCCGATAAAAATAATTATAGACCCCAGGTGAGTCACGCCTCGAAGTGAAAAATATATTTTCATTGCTATGCAACATCTACTGTTACATAAGATCGACAATTTGTTGGGTGAGGTCAGGTTGAGGGAAAAATATCATAAGAAGATAAGCACTATTTCAAGTACTCGCGTGACTATAACAGATTACTATTGTGATAAAACTTCAAGCTTATAATCGACTCTTGCAACAATTATTTATTATTTATTACAGTTTAGAAACTGAAAGCTATTAACTATTTCATGTTGCGCACTCGAGCTTGAGTGCACACGAGACATCGGATGGTCGTTATAATATTTAGTATCATGTTACTTGGAAATCGGTTACCGACTTAATATTTCGAAGATTACTGCGCGTTAGTCTCGTGATTGTATTCTGACGATCTGTTATAGTCGCGCGAATATTTGAAATATGCGTTCATACGGTATTGATTCCTCAAAATGGCACTCGTTACGAAACACCCTGTATAAATATTCAGTTGATTATTGTCAACAGTGGTCCAAAAATAATCTTAACAGATTCGCAGAGAGATAAAATTGTTTTTCAAATATTTTCCACGAAAGTGTTAAGATATCTTGCTCGAAAAAAGTATTTCTACAAAATCCGAAAATATACATTTAAGAATTCCAGTCACTTTTCAATCGCGTGTATCTTGTCCAGTAGCATGTGAATGGTTGTAGATGGATGTCTGTTCCACTCGTAACGACCAAAAATATTGTGTACGTGTGTCAGACGGGACAAGGTGGCAGCGATAGACATATTTGTTTAACCATCGACACAACAACAGCGACACAGCATCAAAAAACAAGAACGATGAAGACAGCGGACAGACCAAACAGAAAACTGACGTCAAATATGCAAAGTCGTACAAAATCAGCCTTTGCTGCTTCCCCTGTTCTTTCGGCTGATGAAACCTCTCCGCAACTCGGTAAAAAATAAAATGAAAGAAAACGCAATAATAACAGTACCGACGGCAGCGAACAGAAAGAAAAATAACAAAGAACCGATGGATAGAAACGACCCGTAAAAAGAGGGTCAAAATTTCTGCGAACATGCGCGAGGATTTCACGGGAATTTGATACGTTTGAAAAATATTCGCTGGCAAATTGTTGGACGATGGCAAGAAAAAGTACGAGCTCGCGGTAACCACGATTCACGTACGATGATTTCAAGCGCGACAGAAACAAAAAAGATAGCTTCTACGCCAAAGTGGAAGAGGTGATTTTTCATCGTCACGTGGTTGTTTCGACGTTTAACTTAAAAATTTCATTTATACACGCGAGAAAACTTTATTCGTTCGAGTTCCTTTTTAATCAAATTAAAAACCTGGGCAGAACGCGCGGGAAAAACGCAGAATCGCAGAAAAAAAGCGGTCGAACGGTGAAACAAGCTTTGACCCCAGAGGTGGAGAACCTTTTACCATTGGAAGATCGCGTACTGTTATACGGATTCCTCGCATAGCTCTATAGTGGGACGAATCTGTGTGAAATTTCAATCATTTCAGATTTTTACAATGAAATAATTGTCGAAATCTGTCTTTAGTGTGTGGTAAACATTTGAAGTTATGAAGTTTTAGTTTCAAGGTGCCCCAAAAAAATCTGAATTTAGAAGTTTCAGCAAATCGTGACGTATCTTTAAATTTTTCAAAAATTTTATGGAGAGGTACTTGTAATTTTATACAATTGTGAAAAATGTCCTTTTACCTTACAATTTTTAAATTCTTGAATTTTTTAAAACCTTTGATGCAGCTTGCGAACAAAATCTGATTTAGAAATATAACAGATATTATTTTACAGCTTTTATTTTCAGGTCTCTTTAGGGCATCGTCAAAAATTTCGAAGGTTTTTTCAACTATTTTAATTTGATAATCAAACATTTACGTTTTTACTCTATTCATTGAAATAAAGACTGTTCAATAATGTATAATTTATGATCGAAGAAGGAATGAAATAAATATGCGAAATGGTGGCACGTTCCCTATCCCTGGTGACAATTCTTGCTCTGAATGAAATCACATATCTCGTAGTCGAATCAAGCATTTTACTTTGTCCACGAAACATTATTTTCGCCTTTAATCATCTCGGTTATATTTCATAAATTCGACAAAACTTCCTCCATACAATTTCACAGATTTAAAAGTCTGTTCATCCAAGGAATGCTTGTTAAATTCACGAAATATACCGAGGCTGACTTATAAGCGAAGACCTGCCACAGACTAAATAAAGCGCTCGACCACAAGACACATAATTTCACGCAAACTATTTGTTCAAAATTCCTTCCAAGGAATAAAATAAAGAAAACAAGCACGATGCTTTATAGAAAATAAAAGAATAGAAGAACGGAAACGTTGTTCCAAAGAATAGCCGCGGTACCGTGAATGTTCGCCGGTAATGGCGTCGACATGGCGGAGAGACTCGACCGACTGCGCGATTTACAAGAATAGATGTCTCGTTAGAGTAGTGAACGTATCGATAAGGCGAAAAGAAACGTAAGAGGTACAGGCGGGAGCAGAGAGAAAGAGAGAAACAGAACGAACGTCTCGCAATAAAAAGAGTCTCATACAAGAAGAGAAAAGAAGAAAACAAAAATGAAGAACGAAAAACAAAAGAGTAAAATTAAAAGAAAGAAAATAACAACATTGCGCGTAACAGCGACCAAATGAGAGAGACAGAGACAGAAAATAAAAACGTAAATGGCAAAGTAGCGAAAGAGAAAAAAATAAAACGAACAGATACTGTACCGGATACAAGACAATAACAACGGTTAGGCGTTTGACAAACTGCGAAATAAGAGTGAAAGAACAAAAAAAAATAGAGAAACAGAGAAATGAACATAGCTGCCCGATACAAGACGGGGCGATATATATATATATATAAATTCTTTTTTTTCACAGCTTTGACTGTGGGGAAAAAAAACTTACTCGATCTTCCTCTCCGGTTGCCTTTGATTTTTCGATTTTTCGATTCGCGCCGCGCGTTGGTCGTTTGGTCGATGGTGATTTTGATTGATTGGTTGATTGGTTGGTATTTTTTTTTTTTTTTTTGTGTATTGTATGTGGAGATTCGGGCGAAGAGGGGAGTTGGAGAGATTGATAGAAAAAAAAAAAACAGAGAAACGGAGATCATAAACCAATGTCAGAGATAATGGCTACCGAGATTGATTGATAATTATTAGTTATTTTCCACCCTCGATCGTGCTCTCTTTCGACGAGCAGGGAACCATCGAGAGACATCGTGCGAGCCACGCCATCCGCGAATCCGTCGGATCGCTTTTAACTCGATGAGAATATTTCTCGGTGGTTCGTTTACGCTCGAAACGACTCAATATTTTTCCACGACGTACGCTAAATTGTTCCACGGGAATGAACTGTCAGAAACCGACCGCAGGGAGGAAAATGTTGAATCGCGTTCCGTGTTCGCGCAAACGAATGACGCGTGCGAGGGGGCGGGAGAAATTTTACCCGGCAGTTAGGGTCTCACGAGTTTATCGCCGATCGAGGGACAAGGCTCCAGATCGTTGAACGATCCAGCTGAATTGGTACGTGCGTGACCAGTCGCTCGGAGACAGCGCCATTCGTCTGCTCTATTTTCGCGAGAGAAACACGACTGTTCTAATTTTAACGATAGTTCGAGAGAGATCGCTCTGGACCGCTAACGTAATTTTTTCAGAACTCGTTTCCCCGGTAGATTCAACTAAAAACTCGTTGCGCATCTTTTAGGGAAATTTCTTTGAAGCAGCTCGCCGTAGTCTCTGGGACTGAAGGGAATTAAATTTAAGTAAGGTCGAGAGGAAGTAATTACTTCTTAATGGGAATTCAAAAGCTAATTCGATCTAGACAATTCCCTTGTTTCGAGATTTTTAGTTAAAGCTTGTTGGTGGTAATTTAGTTTCATGTGCGAAGTATATTATTGAATGAGATAAATTTTGTTATTTTTAAAATGCACCAACCACTTCGACAGAAAGAAATTGTTTTGATTCACTGCACTTAATTACCATGGAGAGGTAATCGTTTACTTTCGGCATCTCTTAATTTTGAATTATCCCTGAAAAATTACACAAAATTCTGATCAAAAACATATTA